GATGTATGAAATAATGATGTAATAGCAAAAATCAGGTACAATAATGGATGTAATTTTGTTCGCAAAATCGATGTTCATCGTACAACGTTATATTACACAACCGATGCAACTGGTTGCAGCAGTTTGGATGTAATATTTAACAACTTTTTTTTCTGTGTAGACACTTTGAATCTGTTTGGATATATTTCGATACTACAGACATTATTGCAGTCTTGGTTGATAAATCAAATCAAATCAACTGAACTCCAGGACGATTTAGAGAACCTACACAGCAAAAAATAAATTTTAATAAAACATCCAAGCACTTCAATCACGTCGAAAATCTCATGTAATTTTTATGGCCACAAAAATAAACAAATGCAGTCCACTTCCACTTCAAAGAATTCAGAACAAAGTTCTGAAGATGATTTTGAAGTTGCCTCTCTGGTACAGTACTATCGAGGCACATCGAATTTGGAATGTTGAGACTTTAGAACAAATGTCCAACAAAAAAATTAATAATTTCAGGCAAAAATCGTTGCAATACTCAATTGCAACGATTAATTCCCTTTATACTTAGATAAGATTTAGTTTTAGGATATCATTTGTTATACTGACATGCAGGTTTAAAAAAACCTGTTTGAAAAACTGAATTGCCAAGACAGGAACAATGTAAAAACACTTAGATATATATCATAACAATTAAGGCTGGTAAGTTACTGTAGTAACTGGAGCACCTAGGTTAACATGAAATGTAATTTATTTTGAATTTGGAACAAATAAAGAGTTAAAAAAAACAACACTCTAAAAAATATTAACGTTTGATTCACGTGAAATATCACGTTAATGATCGGTATTTAGAAAATCTCAAATGTTACGTGACGTTAGTAACTTTGACCTGCATTACACGTCATGTTCACTAAAAATGTTGGTGAAATCGACCATATATTAACGTAAACAGATTTAGTGTGTTTGAGACTTCGATATTTCCGCCAAACAAGATTTTCGTGATTTTCAGGTATGCAAAAAATAAATCGTCACCGTCACCGAGCGGAAGAACTCCTCAAAGATTTAAAATTTCCCAGCAGCTTGCTGCAAATATTGAATATTGATTCTTTTACATTAATTTCATTTATTTATGATAATTTGTAGGTGACTGTACCTTTTTCTATTTTTATTATTTAAGAAGTTAGCATCGGTATTTTGAATCTGCAGACAGTTGTTAATATTTTATCAAAAATAAAAGACTTATAAACGTTTCTTCCTCATAATAATGAAGCATTTAATAGTTTGCAATTTTATAAGTCGATATTAAGGGTTTTCCAAAAGGGATTTCCTTACTTTGACAGTTCATTGCGACCATATTGTTGAAGCTACAAGTGTCAAATTAGCTTTCATTTATTCAGTGTTCTTGTAAAATTACATATGGAGAGTTATAACGTCTAACAGCACGTGCAAATGATACAATTGTTTTATCAAAGTAAGTGTTCTTTGCGAGCAACGTTCCGAGCGCTTCGCCCATTTTACGGTCACAATAATCGTCCTACCGAGAGGACTATTCGCAATGTGGTGGACAAATTCGAGGAAACTGGTTCTTTAAACGCTCTCAACCACCACCGTCAACCACCACGTCAACGGAACGCAAGTCGCCGCTGTACGCGAAATTGTGCAGCGCACAAGAACTGGGTCTCTCGCAGGCTTCAACTTGGCGAATTCTGCGTCGAGACTTGGGTCTGAACCCATACAAGATCAAATTGACCCAGGAGCTTAATTTTAACGATTATAGACAGCGCCGTGTGTTAGCTGATTAGGTTTTGGAGCAGTTGGAAACACACCCCGGTTTTGCCGGAAAAATCTTCATCAGCGACGAGGCCCGTTTCTGGATGAACGGGTATGACTGATGATGATGATGACTGATGATTATTGCAGTCTTGGTTGATAAATTAAATCAAATCAACTGAACTCCAGGACGATTTAGAGAATCTACACAGCAAAAAATAAATTTTAATATTACATCCAAGCACTTCAATCACGTCGAAAATCTCATGTAATTTTTATGGCCACACAAATAAACAAATGCAGTAAAAGCAACGTAATGTCAGCACATGCACTCTATTAATGATAATTTTGCCCTTTTTGGCAAGTAATATTACACCATATTTTCGACCCGATTGAAGTGCATCCACTTTGATGTGATATTAAAATTAATTTTTTGCTGTGTATATATCCGGTATAAAGGGTGATACGGTCAAAATTTGGTCAATATCAACTTGACGTATTTCTTTCAATTTTGCTTTTAAAAAACCTGAACACCCCTCATTTTGAAGGTGTGTGTGTGTAGAATGTTGCTCCTATTTTGATTTTGGAATTCACTCTTCAGTTGTCAAAATGCCGTCCAAGCAAGAAGAGCAGCGTATCAAAATTTTGCTCGCGCATCGCGAAAATCCGAGCTACTCGCACGCAAAGTTGGCAAAATCGCTAAAAGTTGCCAAATCAACCGTTACAAATGTAATTAAAGTGTTTGGGGAACGTTTGTCGACAGCCAGGAAGTCTGGATCGGGGGGAAATCGAAAACCGGAAGCCGCTGAGACGACAAAGAGAGTTGCCGGTAGTTTCAAGCGAAACCCTAACCTCTCTCTCCGAGATGCCGCAAATAAGCTGGGTGTATCGTCTACAACCGTGCATCGAGCCAAAAAACAAACCGGACTATCGACTTACAAGAAGGTAGTGACTCCAAATCGCGATGATAAACAAAATACGACGGCCAAAGCGCGATCCCGGAGGCTGTACACGACGATGCTGACGAAGTTTGACTGCGTGGTAATGGACGACGAAACCTACATCAAAGCCGACTACAAGCAGCTTCCGGGACAGGAGTTTTATACGGCAAAAGGAAGGGGAAAGGTAGCAGATGTTTTCAAGCACATGAAACTGTCAAAGTTCGCAAAGAAAGATCTGGTTTGGCAAGCCATCTGTACCTGTGGCTTGAAAAGCAGCATTTTCATAGCTTCCGGGACTGTCAACCAAGAAATTTACGTGAAAGAGTGTTTGAATAAACGTCTGCTGCCTTTCCTGAAGAAACACGGTTGTTCCGTACTGTTTTGGCCGGATTTGGCATCTTGCCATTACGGTAAAAAGGCCATGGAGTGGTACGCCGCCAACAACGTGCAGGTGGTTCCCAAGGACAAGAACCCTCCCAACACGCCAGAGCTGAGAAATACTGGGCTATTGTCAAGCGGAACCTAAAGAAGACCAAAAAAACTGCTAAGGGCGAGCAGCAGTTCAAGGCAAACTGGCTTTCTGCGGCGAAGAAGGTGGACAAGGTGGCTGTACAAAATCTGATGGCAGGGGTCAAGCGTAAGGCCCGGCAATTCGGATTTGGAAAAGCGGAAGCCTAACTGAATATTTTTCCTGAATTTTATACTAATTGAACTTGAAAAAGAAATTTAATTTGATTTTTTAAATAAACTATTTCACCGATTTACACGCGTTTTCCCTTGACCAAATTTTGACCGTATCACCCTTTACATGACAATTACTCGCTTATAATATATGATTCGTTTATGATTTGGCAACGAAAAATACTATGTTCATATTCAAAAAAAAAGAAGGAAAATGTCTCACATTGGACAGACCTCAGGGAATTTCCGTGTAAATCCGGTGTTACTTATGGAATTGAGATCATTTCTCGATTATTTGCAGGGTGTTTGGTTTGAACCGGTAAAAAATTAAGGGCCAAATGATCAACACAATCCTAGCCCAAGGCTAAAAGTCTCTTTAATAAAGAAAAAAAAAAAAAAAAAGATAAACACAATTGATGACAGCAAAATTATCCGGGAAGGAAAGGTTACAATAAATTCCACTATTTTTGAGATAGCACATCAGTACCTTCGCGATTTTCGAGACATCATTCAATGTTCCCGCGATTTTCGCGACTTAAAGTTCAAATCCGCGAAATTCGCGAAATCCGTGCCTGTTGTAACAGCCCTGAAAATAGGGTGAACGAAAACCACCTGTTTTTCACGTAAATCGGACGTGAAGATTTTTCTTTAACTCTGCAAGACCATGGCTCCCCATGCATTGGGTTGGGAATACACCTGTGTACCTGGCCATATACCTAGGCCTGTTCTAAACCCGATAGCAGAACGAGCTTATTTGACTGGCAGGCCATGGAGAAAATTCCACCTGTTCCCGATAAAATAAAGGTTTCTTTTTACTTTTTCACTAGAGCGCTACTTCGTCGTGATCGCCTATGTCATTGAACATATTAATAATACGTTCGATCTTATGCCTTAGTTCAATAGCTACAATAGTTGCTATGTCCATAAAACCACATGGCACGAATAATTTAACAAACTTCTTATTTTTTTCAAAGATAAATGAAGAACGCCCAGCTAATTCATTTTTCCTACCGTACGATGAAAGAAATCCAATAGCGTTTCAATGCATTTGAGGCGGAGTTGAAACTCATAGGCCGGAATTGGAATCAAGGAGTGATATGTTTTTAAGAAAATAAGAACAATTTGTAACTTTTTTTGATCAAATTAAATCGTGCATATAGGTAGAAATAAATTTTTCGGTTTTAACCGTTCATAAAATTGAGCCGAAGCGCGGGTTGTGGTTAGTAGGACGGAAATAAGAACAAAACCCCAAGAAATAAGGAAACCCGATATCAACAATTGTATAGAGACTGTACAACTATTTAAAATGTCTAGTAATAGGTGTCGGATCTTTGGGAATTTTATATACCACTATCAGACAGATCACTTGAACAATCAATGTAAGTAGAATAAAGCTTCCTTACATGTGAAAATATCTAAATTTGCGAGAATCCCAATAATTCCTTCTCAATTACTTACATCATTCAGCACAAGACACACAGAACTTTTAAGATAATTCAAAGTAATAAACTAAAAGACTAAATTTACAGAGGCAATATTCACAAGCATATCCTAGTGTAGTAATCTACGAGTGATATGTAGTCTAAATACATTACACCACACCTACAAAAAAAAACGTACCTTCATGATCCGGGTGAAAATCTCGCCCAAATCGGGTGTGCGTGGGCGATGTCCGTACACTGTTATCACTGCCGGCGTGTAGGCTTCCTGCTAAACCACTTCCAGTAGCACTCCCGACACTGTCACTGCCCACTCCGTCCTCCCGTCCACTGCCGTTCGAAGACGAGTGATACTGATAGTTGGGATTGCTTATATTATTTGGCGTAATGTCAATCATTTCGTCGTCCGATGTAAGTGATGTCGTATTTATGAAACTCCGCTCATTAGTTGGCGATGATGTCTATTTGGGAAAAAAATGCCGAAGAAAACACATCTCTTTAATTGCAGTCAACATCCATGCTAGGGCAGGAATTTCTCTTCAATAAATTATTAATAGCGTAGGTGTGTCCGGTACACGGAGGATGCAATAAAAAATGCTGTTTGGCACCATTCCCTTGGTATCGGTTTTCAATTCCGAAAATAAATCTTTTTGGCCAAAACTCTTCTAATAGTTTGGAATCGTTCAAATAATTGATCATCTCATTTATAACATTGCACTTTTATGATACAAGCTGTCACTACACAACAAGCAAAAAACACGCAAAATTCCCACAAAATTAAAACAAATTATATTTCCACGGTAATTGATTTACCTAAACTGCACCTGCAGTTCCGAGATGCACTTTATGTATTTTAATCTAGCCGTACAAACAACTGCAGTCTACGGAAACGTTTCATATGCTATCATTTCGTCTATCACTCCAGTATACAGAAGAAAATAGATCTAATAGATAAAAATCAATAGGGCTACCGACGGCGCATGATCCAGTCGCACGAAATTTTGACAGTCAATTTCGTATTGGGCTCGCATGTAGCAAAGGCACGCGGTAAATCACAACACGTTACATTCCCAACAAACATTGAGAGCTGAATTATTGCACACAAAAATCAATGTGTCTTTCGTAGTGATTATGTCCCGAACAAACAAAAAATGCTAATTCAACAAACTCGAACAAAAAATTACCTATAACACTAAAAAGGAGGTTTATTCAACCCTGAATGCTGAATCAGCGGCTAAAAAATCAGCCAGAATGTTTTTTTTTAAATCTATAGAACAATAACAGTGTGATGGAATAAAAGGGTTGATTTTTAAATCCTTAAGTGTGATGTTGAAATAAATAGGGGAAATGGCTCTAATGTTGGCCTGTGGATCTAAGATTGGGTCCATCGCTAATAATTTGCAATTTATTAATTTTATCTAGATGAACGCGTTATCGGTACTAGTGGATATTTTGGTCTCTATTGAAAATTTAGTCGATTGCTGAATTTATGTTAGGGGCATTTAGGCCGAAATTACATCCATTTCCCTTATGTATGTGAAAGGTGCTCTATCCCGAAAATTTGAAATTAGCGTAAAGGCAATGAAATTCAGCGATCATTATCTTCTGCTTCGCATTTCAAGCTTATTGCTTATCGCATTTATTATGTCACGCTAAATTGAGGAAAAATTAATACCCCTCTCCCCTTTCGCCACGTTTTTCCTATACTTAATGCATTGCTTGTCACAAATTTATGAACCTCCCCCCTTAGAGCGTGACATAATATATGCATCACCCCATATTTAGCTTATTGTGTGCTCTTAACATAGTATTCTACACAGCAAAAAAATAATTTTTATATCACATCAAAGTGGATGCACTACAATCATGTCGAAAATTTCATGTAATTTTTATGACCACATAATTAAACAAATGCAGTAAAAGCAGCGTAATGTTAGTTCATGCATTGTATTAATGATAATTTTGTCCTTTTTAGCAAGTAATATTACACCATATTTGCGACATGATTTTAGTGCATCTACTTTGACGTGATATCAAAATTATTTTTTTGCTGTGTAGATGCACTTCCACAGTTATTAATCGAGAGCTTTCCATAAGTACAATCATACTCTATGCCCAGGAAAGTCGAGAATATTTCCAACCCGAAGAATTCCTAGACCGGACCAGGATTCGAACCTAGCCACCTCCAGCATGGTCTTGCTGCGCCTTTACCGACTGCGCTAAGGGAGACCCCCGGCGGTCATTACAATGTGCGAAAAACTGGATTTTTTTTTCTAAGACCGAAAAATCAGTCCCTTCAGTTAGGTTTTATAGTTATCTCTTAAGGTGATACGGCACGTCATGCAATAATAGCTGTTTTGGTATGCGTACGAAAGACATCTTCCTAAAAAACAGTAAATTACTAATTACATACCTTAAAAATGGGCCTGAATTGTATGAATAAGATCTGGATAGATATTTTAACAATTTTCCACCAAAATATTGACAATTCATTCACGAATTGGTAATATTTGCATTAAAAAGTACGATCAGCCGATTTTGTGCTGCTCAGGGCATGAAATTTCAATAACTGTTTTCACTAGCTTTCACTTCTCAAAACCACACTAAAAACAATTACGACACGTGCTTCTACAAGCACTTTCAAGTTAATTCACTTTTAAAGACGATATTTACTTAAATAA